TGGCTGCTGCGGCCGGAACTACACTGATCCGAAGCCAGGGGCCAGGTGCACTTGGGCCATCCTCCATTGTCCTCCTGGGCCACAGCAGAGAGCTGGACTGGAAGAGGAATAACTGGGACTAGAACCCGGTGTCCATATGGGATGCCAGTGCTGCAGGCGGAGGATTAACCAAGTGAGCCACGGCGCCGGCCCCAAAAGACCTACTTTCAAAAGTGCCTGAATATTCATGTTAACTGAAATAAGTCAGGCACATAAAGACAGCTATTCCAAGTCCTTAAATGCGGAAGTTAAAATCTTCGATCTCGTAGAAGTAGAGAGTGGAATAGTGATTACCAGGGCCTGGGAATGGTGTGTGGCGAGGGAAAGATGGAGAAAGGATGGCTCATGGGTGCAGGGTGTGGGGGGGGGGGCAGGAGGATTAGCTTCTGATATTCCACAGCACAATAAGGTGATTCTGCCTTCTACAAAGAGATCAAGAAACTCCACAACAACAAATCAAACAACCCACTCAAGAGATGGGCCAAGGACCTCAATAGACATTTTTCAAAAGAGGAAATCCAAATGGCCAATAGACACATGAATCAGGATCACTAACCATCAGGGAAATGCAAATCAAAACCACAATGAGGTTTCACCTCACCCCTGTTAGAATGGCTCACATACAGAAATCTACCAACAACAGATGCTGGCGAGGATGTGGGGAAAGAGGGACACTAACCCACTGTTGGTGGGAATGCAAACTGATTAAGCCACTATGGAAGTCAGTCTGGAGATTCCTCAGAAACCTGAATACAACCCAGCCATCCCATTCCTTGGAATTTACCCAAAGGAAATTAAATTGGCAAACCAAAAAGCTGTCTGCACCTTAATGTTTATTGCAGCTCAATTCACAATAGCTAAGACCTGGAATCAACCCAAGTGCCCATCAACAGTAGACTGGATAAAGAAATTATGGGACATGTACTCTACAAAATACTATACAGCAGTCAAAAACAATGAAATACGGTCATTTGCAACAAGATGGAGGAATCTGGAAAACATCATGCTGAGTGAAATAAGCCAGTCCCAGTGGGACAAATATCATATGTTCTCCCTGATCGGTGACAAATAACCAAGCACCAAAAAGGAAACCTGTTTAAGTGAAATGGACACTAATAGAAACAGTGACTTGATCAGCCCTTGTCCTGACTGTTGATGTACAACTTAATACTTTATCCCTTTTAGTAATTTTTTTTGTTCTACTTAATACTATTGGTTGAACTCTGTAATTAACACACAATTATTCTTAGGTGTTTAAATTTAACTTAAAAGTGATCTCTGTTAAATATAAGAGTGGGAATAAGAGAGGGAGGAGATGTACAATTTGGGACATGCTCAAGCTGACTCGCCCCAAATGGTGGAGTTAGAAATGTGCCAGGGGATTCCAATACAATCCCATCAAGGTGGCATGTACCAATACCATCTCACTAGTCCAAGTGATCAATTCCAGTTCACAATTGATGACACTGATAGGTCTAAGAGTCAAAGGGATCACATAAACAAGACTAGTGTCTGCTAATACTAACTGATAGAATAAAAAAGGGAGAGAACGGGCCAATATGGGAAGTGGGATACACAGCAGACTCATAGAATGGCAGATGTCCTAAACAGCACTCTGGCCTCAGAATCAGCCCTTAAGGCACTTGGATCTGGCTGAAGAGCCCATGAGAGTATTTTAGACATGGAAAGCCAAGACACTCTGGAAAACCAAAACCAAAACCAAAACAAAACCTAAATCAAAGATCTCTGTGAGTGAGATCCCAGTAGAAAAAAATGGGCCATCAAAGAAGGAGGAACCTTTCTCTGAAGGGAGGCATGAACCTCCACCTTGACTATGACCTTGTCTAAATAAGATCGAAGTCGGCAAACTCAAAAGGCTTCCATAGCCTTGGCAACTCATGACAAGAGCCTAGGGAGATTACTGATGCCATAAACAAGAGTGTCAATTTGTTAAGTCAACAACAGGAGTCACTGTGCACTTACTCCTCATGTAGGATCTCTGTCCTTAATGTGTTGTCCAGTGTGAATTAATGCTATAACTAGTACTCAAACAGTATTTTACACTTTATGTTCTGTGTGGGTGCAAACTGTTTGAAATCTTTACTTAATGTATACTAAATTGATCTTCTGTATATAAAGATAATTGAAAATGAATCTTGATGTGAATGGAATGGGAAAGGGAGCGGGAGTTGGGAGGGTTGCGGGTAGGAGGGAAGTTATGGGGGGGAAAAGCCATTGTAACCCATAAGGTGTACTTTGGAAATTTATATTTGCTAAATAAAAGTTAAAAAAAAAGTGATTCTGCTTGAAACAGTTACCTGAATGTTTCAAAGCTAATAGAGGTAATTTTGAACGTTCCCAGCACGAGGAAAGGATCTGTGTGTGGGATGATGGCTCTCTCTGCTATCTGATCCTTACACATTGAAGTGCAGCACTGTAGCCCATTAATATGCACAATATGACATGCTGATCAAACGTAAAAGATAAAAGAACAAATGAACAAAAATGGGCGTGGTCTTTGGCAAGTCCAAAAAACAAGGCTTTGGGGCTGGAAATCGCTTCCTGGGCATAAACGTCTGGACGTGATGAGCTAGAACAAGATAGTGCCCCGTGGGGAGTGCTCACCCCCTGCTGACGGTTAGGAAGGGGCTTAAAGGAATGAAGTAGTGAAGTGTGCTCCACGAGGTGTCCCAGGCATGGCTGAAATGACCTGAACAGAAGAGATGTGTTAGCTTTTCTCAAAACAAGGTCAGCCAACTCTGGAAGAAATGACGAAGCGTCAGGATGTCCAAAAGGTTGAATGTGTAAATCAACTCTGCACAGCAGGTTCATTGCCAAGTGTGAGGGCTGGAGACGTAGTAGAACCAGATTTGGAAGCAGCAGCTCCAATTTTGTTTGGCCAAATTTGCCAAGTATAATAGGTTATGAGCCCTTATGGGTGTTCCCAAGTAATTATACTTAATTGTTTGTGCAAATCGGAGGATCTATCAGCTACAAGCCCAATTAATTAAATGCAGACACACAAGTCAGATTGGGAAGGAAGGAGGAGGGTTGGGTTCACTTCAAAATGAAGCCTGTGTTATTTTACTTTGCTTCGAAAACACCACAGGAGAACACACCTAATAACAGTAGTTGTATGAAATCTTGCATCAGGATACCATAGGGGCTATCTACAAGGAAGTCCCAAGCCCATCAGAGCCCTGAGATTCAGGGTGTTGGGGAGGGAGGGAGAGAGAAACGGAATGGCTTGGGCGGGAGCCCGGCCAGTCTTCACCAGCACAGCTGGGCAGAGGCAGGGGACAATGGCCCACGTGATTTGAAAATCAAGTAAACTGAGGTTCAAGGCCATTTGAAGTGGAGACTGAACAGTCTCTTTAGGAGACCCCAGACTCCATCAGGTGGGACAGGTACCTTCTACAGACAAGCCTGCCTATGCTTCTGCCGCCCGTAAGTACCTTCACAGTGTTTGGAATATTCAAGGGTCATTTGTGCTACATTTTCTCTTTAAATTGGTCAACTGATTTCCAAAGGAATTGTAACATTTTACACTGTCACCATTGCTTCACAGATGAGTATTTTATTTTTAAAGTTGTTTGTTTTTGAAAAATGTATTTGAAAGGTGGGGCCGGCATCATGGCATAGCGGGTAAAAGTGCCACGTGGGATGCCAGCATCCCATATGGGCACTGGGAAGTGTCTCAATTGCTCCACTTCTGACCCAGCTGGGAATGGCCTGGGAAAAGCATCAGAAGATGGCCAAAGTGCTTGGGCTCCTTGTACTCAATTGGGGAACCTAGAAGAAGTTCCTGGCTCTTGGCTTCAGTTTGGCTCAGCCCCAGCTGTTGCAGCCATTTGGGGAGTAAACCAGTGGTTGAAAAATCTCTCTCTCAGTCTTTCTTTTTCTATAACTCTTAAAAAATTCATTTGAAAGGCAGAGTTACATAGAGAGACTGAGACAGAGATCTTCTCTCTGCTGGAGCCAAGAGCCCAATCCAGATCTCCCCGTGGTGGCAGGGACCCAAATGCTTGAGCCATCACCTGCTGCCTGCCAGGGTGCTCATGAACAGGAAGCTGGGCAGAAGCAGAGGCAGGATTCGAACCCTGGCACTCTGACATGGGATACAGGTGCCTAACCACTGAGCCCATTGCCCGTGGCAGATGAATACTATCACCTCTTCCACACCAGTGTCATCTATCAGATCCACTTGTCCACCCGAGCGGAAGGCGGTATCCCCTTCTCCCAAAGATACCATGTAAGATACAAAGCCCCAGTTTCTCATTGGCCCTTTTAAGATTTATTTATTTATTTGAAAGTCAGTGTTACACAGAGAGAGAAGAAGAGGCAGAGAGAGAGAGAGAGAGAGAATGAGAGAGAGAGAATGAGAGACAGAGAGAGGTCTTCCATCTGTTGTTTCAGTCCCCAATTGGCCACAATGGCCGGAACTGTACCAATCTGAAGCCAGGAGCCAGGAGCTTCTTCCAGTTCTCCCATGTGGGTACAGGGGCCCAAGCACTTGGGCCATCTTCTACTGCTTTCCCAGGCCATAGCAGAGAGCTATATCAGAAGTGGAGCAGCTGGGACTTGAACCGGCGCCCATATGGGATGCTGGCACTACAGGTGGCACTTTTACCCGCTACACCACTGCGCTGGCCCCTCATTGGCTGGTTTTAAAATGACCCCTTCCCTTTTCAGCTCTTGCAACCTAGTTTCCCTGATGCTGCCCCAGAATTACTGTGCACAAATTCACTCTGCAGACATCTTCTCCTTTAGGATGCTTCTCATTCAGAAATGAAACTCAGCTTTTGCATCTGGGGCAGGGCAGAGAGCCCCAGGACAGAAAGGGCCACAGGAACCTTCTGGGTGCACCAGGAGGTTTTGAGTTGACTGATACCGGCTTTCTGCATTGAGTAGGGCCATGCAGCCTTGGTGGTCAAGCCTCAGCCCAGTCATCACCATTGCAGGTCACCATGGAGGCTTCTCCCCGAACCCCTCGCATTTGGCTCTGTGCTGCAGCAGGTGCCGCCACCACCCCGCCCACCTCAGAGCTGGCTCTCTCTGCCTGCCCAGGAACCCTGCCTAACGGATGTGCGTGGAACGCCTTGCCACTCAAAACCGAAACATGGAGCTTTCTCAGGCACATTGGCCCAGTGTCACCATAAACAGAGAAAAGACAGCCAATCGTGAGCAGGTGAGTCAGAGAGACCCTGAAATGGCAGGAAACAGGAGGGGAAACACTGCCAAGGACCCTGCAGGGGACCAAGGTCCCCTGGGGACCCAGTCCCACTGTGCCACCTGTCGCAACCCTACCGTGTCAACCCCGAGTTCTAGGGTGAGTTTGGGCCCAGAGCCTTCCCTCTGTCTGAGGATTCAAGGGAAGGGGTGGCAGAACTGTGATAAAAAAATGAGGGCTCATTGAAGTCGTGGCACCCGTGGAAAGACAGCTCATGTTTCAAACCCAGACGATGACACAAGAGGGGCTGAGAGTCCCGACACCTTGCGTGGCCGCCGCTTTGTTTTAACAAGTGTTCTCTTTCAGAACCAGAGGCTCTTGCTCATCCCAGCTGGAATCCGCCCGAGGCCGGCCACCAGCCACACCCTGTTCAGAATGGCAGCCGGTTAGCAAGAACCTGCAGCCAGCCTGGCCAGGAACTCAGCGGGGTCTAAGTTTAACTCGGCACAGAGGGCATTTCCTGCCTTGCAGAACCTTGGAGATGATCAAGCCTTTCCCTCTCACTTTGCTTCTTCAAGGGCCAGAGGCCAGATCTAAGGGCTCCCTTGCAAAAGGTGGCCCGACAGCCATAGGTTTCTTCTAACCACGGATCATCCACTACAGAAGACCTCAGAACAAATCACCAGTCTTAGGAGTTCCTGGCTGTGAAGCTTAATTGCCTGGGCATCTGTAGTGTAGAAGAGGAATAAACAGGAGCAGTGGCAGGAGAAAGTTCTCATTCTGAAATTCCACTTCTGTCAATAGTAACTATTAATTATTACAAGGGCTTGCTACATGAGATACTTTCTGTACATTCTCTCAGTTTATTCCCACATGAACCTGTAAAGTAGGTGCTAATGTGAACCCCAATTTTTAAATAAGAAAACTGATTCAAGAACTCATGGTAATATAGCTAGAAAGTAATACAGCCAAAATTCCTTTTTAAAAAAATAATTTTAGGGACCGCTGCCTGCAGTGCCAGCATCCCATATGCATGTGGCTTTATCACGCATGGGATTTTATTGCTAACGTGATCACTAATCTGGTTCTTCCATAAACTTGTCACTGCTTTGGCTACTAACTAGCCACCTTATTGACAGAACAAAGAGCAATTATTACAGTCAAAACAGTATGATTAAAGTCACTTGTGTTCAAAATAGTAAATCAAAATGGTGGAGACAGGGTCTGGCCTGGAAAACGCACACATGAAATGTTTCATTTGGGCCAGGCATTCTGGCACAGCGGGTTAAGCCTCTGCTTGGGGACACCCATATCCCATGTCGCAGTGCCTAGCATTGAGTCCTGGCTCTGCTTCTGATCCAGCTTCCTGCTAATGCACATTCCGGGAGGCAGCAGAAGATGGCTCAAGTACTTGAGTGCCTGCCACCTGCAGAGCTCCTGGCATTGGCCTGGCCCATCCCTGGCTGATGCAGGCATTTGTGGGGGTGATGGAAGCGTTCTCTCTCTCTCTCTCTCTCTCTCTCATTCTCTATGTCTCTGTCCTCATTCTCTCTGTCTCTGTCTTTCAAATATGTTTTTAAAATGGGTACATAAACATTTAAAAATAAAATGTTTCATTCTCCTAACAGTCAACAGATACTAATAATTTGTCTACTTTTTGCCCAGGCCTCTTTAAACACCGTGACCCAGCAGTTAACAAGACACAGCCTTGACTCTCACAGTCCAGCAGGGTAAGATCTTACCAACCAATTATTTAACTAATTATCATCTCTGTGATGATCCGGAACACATAGGAAAAGTATGGGGACTCTTAGGGTGTGTGCGTGGGAGCCCTGAACGTAGGCAGTGATGGCTCCGGGAACTTTAGGCCTGGGGTCAGAGGTGGAAGTTGCCAACCAGAATATTCCAGGGACCACTGCCTTTGGCCAAGGCAAGGACAGAACAAAGAGCTTCCTCCTGTGTATGAGGGCATTGATGGAAAGTATGTTTATTTTGCTGCAAAAGATTTTCAAAATCCATGCCAAGTTTTCTTGTTTTCCATGAGCTTTTTGAAGACTTCTTGTGCTCTTGTGTGTATGGATTTGAGTTTTTTTTTTTTTTTTTTTTTTTTTTTTTTTTGCAGTGCCGGTGTTGCAGCACTACCAGTTAAGCCACCACTTGTGATGCTGGCATCCCATAATAATTATATTATTATGCTGGCCAGAGTCCTAGCTACATTACTTCTGACCCAGCTTTCTGCCTATGCACAAGAGAAGGCAGAGGAAAGTGGCCCAAGTATTTAGGCCTCTGCCTCCCATGTGGGAGGTTTGGATAGAGTTCCTGGCTCCTGGCTTCAGCCTGGCCCAGCCTTGGCTGTTGGGAATATTTTGGGGATTGAACCACTGAGTAGAAGGTCTCTCTCTGTCTCTCTTTCTATCATTGTGACTTTTAGATACATAAATGAAAAAAGATCATAAAAAGGAGCTTGAGGGGCTGGTGCTGTGGTGTAGTGGGTAAAGCTGCCACCTGCAGCACCAGCATCCCATCTGGGTGCCGGTTCAAGTCCTGGCTGCTCCACTTCCCATCCAGCTCTCTGCTGTAGCCTAGGAAAGCAGTAGAAGATGGCCCAAATCCTTGGGCACCTGCACCTGCTTGGGAGACCTAGAACAGACTCCTGGCTCCTGGCTTCGGATCAGTGCAGCTCCAGCCATTGCAGCCAATTGGGGAGTGAACCAGCAGATGGAAGATCTCTCTCTCTCTCTCTCTGCCTCTCTTCTCTCTGTGTAACACACATTTTTTTAAAGAAGGAGCTTGCACCAAATTAAAACTGCTTATTTCCATTTTCTATTCATATTTTAAAGTACCCACATAGATGTTTCATGGACTGTGCTGAGGGTGGAGTGAATCTACACTCATTTGTAAGGAAACTGCGCAGTGGGGAGAAACAGTATCACTGAGGGCCTGGTGCCAAGTGACATCAGCATTGATTGGAAAGGTGTGGCTGTCCTCAAGGTCCCCAGAACAGGAAAGGGGACTCTGGCGTCACCATTTCTGGGGCAATAAGTCCTCTCCTAAGTGTGGCTATGTGTAAAGTCCTTCAAAAACTTTGTGCAAAGTGGAATTGAAAGAAACATTTTTTTTGATGCAAACATTTTTGAAATCTATGCATGTTCATGGAAAACGTATGTTACAAAAAGACAATGCATGGATTTCAATTTTTTGGCATCAAAGTAATTTATCTTTTAATTACATTTTCCATGAAGTTTTTGAAGTACCTTGGTGTTTGTGCACCTGGAAGCACTAGGCATTTTTTTTAAAGTTTTATTTATTTATGTGAAAGGCAGAGTTACAGAGAGGCAGAGGCAGAGAGAGAGAGAGGGGTCTTCCATTCGAAGGTTCACTTCCCAGATGGCCACAATGGCTGGAGCTGTGCCGATCTGAAGCCAGGAGCCAGGAGCTTCTTCCAGGTCTCCCACATGGGTGCATCTACTGCTTTCCCAGGCCATAGCAGGGAGCTGGATTGGAAGCGGAGCAGCCAGGACTCGAACCAGAGCCCACATGGGATGCTGGGACTGCAGGCGGCTTTTACTTGCTATGCCACAGCACCAGCACCAGCCCCAGCACTAGGCATTTTTATTTTATTTTTGCTACAACCTTTCCTGTGGCATGCTCCAACTGTTGCACACACGAAGCAAACAGATTCAGAGAAGGGAAGCTACAAAATCACCCTCCTGGAAAATAAAATGAGCCCCGCATGCTAAAGAACAGCACGCCCAGAGGGTCATTCCTCCCGGATACCCTCTGAGAATGCGGGCTCCAGGTTTTCCAATGTGGAGAAATAATCCCTTTCTGTTAGGCTTGTTCCTGTGGGGGTAGCTGGGGAACAAGACAATGTATGTTAACTGGATAGCAAAGCACAAGTAGGCGGCTTAAGGTTTCTGCTTGCTGTGTTCAATCTTCCTCAGTGGTCTCACTAGTGTTGTCTTGACCTTTGGGTGGCTTTTCCTGGAGCTCTAGGGGAATAAAAACATGGAAGAGAGAGTCTAAGCTGTTACAGTAACACCTGCCGCCTAGCTGGGGGCCTGGGTGTACACCGGAAGTGGGCTCCTCCCAGAGCCTGTAGTCAGTGCTCCTTTCTGGACTGCACCTGAAGCCTGCAGGAAGAGGAGAAAGCACCTGCCAAGGGCTGTGTGACCAGGAGGGGCTTCCCAGGGAGCAGAGGGAGGACCCACCATGCTGACTTACCAGCCGTTGCTGTGGGGGTTTTAAAAGCTTCCCGGATAAATGAGCCCATCTGATATCTGGCACGGGGGAAATGCCCCTGGACATCATTTCTTGGCCAATTTTTCCAAAGCTGAGTAGCCACAACGTGAGAAAGTAGCTCTTACTGGTGAAGAGTTGTAAAGACACGTGCACACACACACACACACACACAGAGAAAGCAAAAAAAAAAAAAAAAAAATACAGCAACCAAAATGCAAAACCAGCTTTTGGAGTCATGGAGTCACATCAACCTGGGTTTGGGTCCTGATTTCGCCACTTCCAAGTTGGGAGATTTGCTGCAAACCTTGTCACCATCCCAGCCTCAACTTCCCTTTCTGTAAAATGAAAATAATAATACCAGCTAATACCAGCTTTGCAGGGTTACTGGGGCTGAGCTAACACATGGAAGGCACGTGTAAGGAACAGACTCATGAAATGTGCATGAGAAAATATGCAAGAATTGAAAACTTTTTTTGTACCCAACCAAACTCTTGTTTTAATTCCATTTTCCCCACGAACTTTTTGAAGTATCCCCTTGGCTCAGAACCTGGCCAGTGTAGACATTCATCCTGGAGCTGAGACAATTGCTCCACATTCTCCTGGGAAAAGCCCTTCCTCAACTTGTAGGTAGCATCTCACCTCTTTAATACAGGCATTTTCAAGTGCACAGAGAATGACAAACAAGAGTACGGTGAATCCATAGTCCCACCCCCAGCTCCAACATTTACCCTCTCATTGGCTAATCTTCCTTCATTGTTATCCATTGCTTACTCCCCAAACTTGGTATATTTTGAAACAAATGTCAGGTACTTTATCCACAGATACTACTTTATTTCTTATTATTTTTAATAAAGATTTATTTATTAATTTATTTGAAAGGCAAAGTAACACAGAGAAGGGGAGACACACACACACACATATACATACACACACAGAGAGAGAGAGAGAGAGGTCTTCCATCTGTCGGTTCACTCCCCAAATGGCCACAATGGTGGGAGAGGCGCTGATCTGAACTCAGGAGCCAGGAGCTTCTTCCAGGTCTACCACATGGCTGGCAGGAACCCAAGTACTTGGGCCATCTTCTGCTGCTTTCCCAGGCTCATTAGCAGGGAGCTGGATTGGAAGCGGAGCAGTAGGGGCTCCAACCAGTGATCATGTGGGACGCTGGTGTGGCAGGTGGTGGCCTAACCTGCTGTGTGACAACGCTGGCCCCAATATTATTTTTAAATTAACTCCTCAATTCTTCCCTTTTCCAGGGGGAAATAATCAGTAACCCAAATGACTGTTTTCAGATTCCATATAATAATATTAACTGTTTTCAGGGTATAATTCTGAGTTTTGATAAACCCACATTCTTCAGACAATTTTCAGTGGTCCTCTCTCAGCTTACAGACATAAAGATGGCAGCACTAAATCGATGAATGAACACACAGTGTTTTAAGCTCTTCTTGACCTTAAGTAGAAAACAAGGAAGTGGCCTCTCCCGTGGTTTCCTTAATCACGGGCTTGTTATGACTTGGACACAACACATTTGATTGGCTGGAACATAAGCCACTCAGAGTAGATTTATGAGCGTCAAGAGTTGTTTAGTGCAACTGAGCATATGTTGATGCTTTCATTCCAAATGGCTGTAATAGAAGGTTTCTAAGAAGCTTGATTCCTATTGGGCTCATTAATAACTACCCCCTAAACATGACTGTGGCCACAGTGATCAATCCACATAGAATTAGCCTTGTTAACAAGGAAGAGATGTTTTTCTGGCAACTGCTACATGCCCAATAACATAGAAACAAAGAACCAAACAAGCAACAAGTCCAGATGCCAAGAAATCCTACTACTTCCTTCTTCCTGAACTCCCGTTGGCCCTGGGACCATCTGCCAGCCAGAGCGCCCCCTACTGTTTCCCAGTGGCATTGTCAGCTCCTTGTCTGATTTTGGTGGACAGAACAGTCTCCCAGGCAGGGAACCTCTGTTGGACCCAGATCAGGACCGTGCAGAGGGATCGCTCACAGTGTGGATGAACGGAGACCTGCAGTGCAGTTCAGAGCTCCTCCTTTTAAACGCCATCTACAAAAGGACTTGGTAGTTACACGCACTTGCCTAGGAGCTAGCAAAACTGAATGTTTGGCTTCATCACCACTGGCTCCAAAGAGTTGAATTTACTTAAGGACCATGAACTTTAAGCAACTGCAGTACCCCAGAACCCTATAGAACCCAGCTACAAACTGCATGCAGACTCATGGGATCATCCCATCCCATGCTGAGGGCTGGTTTTGAATGCATGGTTGGCACCACCGGGGGTCCCTGTTATGGTGCAGTGGGTTAAGTTGTTGCTTGAGATGCTAAGCATCCCTTATCAGAGTGTTGGTTCGCGTCCCAGCTGTTCCACTTCCAATCAAGCTTCCTACTAGTGCTCCTGGGAAGGCAGTAAAAGATGGTCCCAGTACTTGGGCCCCTGCCACCCTCATGGGAAACCCGGATGGAATTC